AAAAATAAAAAATAAATGGGAGGTGGTGGTTAGCGATGCAGCTCAGTGCAAAGGCCCTGGGTTCAATCCCCAGTACCACCAAAAAGAGAAGACATCGGGAAGGGGCAAGAAGCAGGCTTGTTCTCAAAGCAGATGAGAGCAGTCTCATTGTGCCTAATAGATAATGGCGTTTATTGCATCTGTTTCCCATTCTTATAGGAGCAAGTTTGTCTTGTTTTTTTGAGACAGGGTCACTGTGTATTCTAGGCTGGCCTCAAACTTGTGGCAGCCCTCCTGCCTCAGCCTCCTAAGTGCTGGGATTACAGGCATGCACCAGTATGCCTGGTAGGTTTTTTTGCTTTTAGGAAAATTGAAGTATTTCTTGCCTGGCTTAGTACTAATTATAGTGGTTACCTTGGTTCATGAACACTTTTGTGTATGAACAGTTTGGTTCACAAACAGAAGCATTTGGCAAAATTTTGTTTTTGTTTGCAAACCCCACATAGGTTGAGGAACACAACAGTGACCATCTTTCATCAGGTACCACATGTTTGTGGACTAAGTGAATGGCCTCATGTAGGCAAGCGTTCTGCCACAGATATTCCAGCAGCCTAAGCTCTACTTTTTCTTTTTTCGTGGTATGGGGGTTAGAACTACCACAGAGCAACATCCCAAGCCCTTTCTTTATTTCAAGCTCCCTAATTTCTAAAATTACAGGCATGTGCTCCCACTCCCAATTTAGCCTTTTGCTTTAAAAAAAAAGAATTGGGCTGGGCGTGGTGGCGTACCCCTGTAATCCCAGCCCTCGGGAGGCTGAGGCAGAAGGATTACTGCAAGTTTGAGGCCAGCCTCGGCTACATAGTGAGTTCAGGGGTAACCTGAACTATACAGTTGAGACCCTTTCTCCAAAAAAAAAAAAAAAAAATTGACAAAAGCTGGGCATAGTGGTGCGTGCCTGGAATTCCAGCCCTTGGGAGGCTGAAGCAGAAGTAGCTCTTCAAGTTCCAGGCCAGCCTGGGCTACATAGTGAGATCCTGTCTCATAAAACAAAACAAAAAGACAAAGCCAGGCATGGTGGGTCATGCCTGTAATTCAAGCACTCAGGAGGCTAAGGCCAGCCTGGGCTACATAGCAAGACCCAGTCTCAAAAA